TGTCCCCATCAAACACTCCCAGGACAGGGACAGCACGGGGTTAGATACATAGTAAACCTTCCTCTACACTGTTCCCCCATCAAACACCCCCAGGACAGGGACAACATGGGGTTAGATACGGAATAAAACTCCCTCTACACTGTCCCCATCAAACATTCCCAGGACAGGGACAGCATGGGGTTAGATACAGAGTAAATCTCTCTCTACAGTCTCCCCCATCAAACACTCCCAGGACAGGGACAACACTGCGTTAGATACAGAGTAAAGCTTGCTTTACACTGTACTAACAAACACTCCCAGGAATGTAACAGCATGGGGTTACATACAGAGTAAAGCTCTCTCTACACTGTCCCCCATCAAACACTCCCAGAACCTGGACAACACTGGGTTAGATACAGAGTAAAGCCTCCTCTACACTGTACCATCAAACACTTCAAAAACAGGGCAGCATGGGGTTATATACAGAGTAATGCTCCCTTAATTATGTACCTATCAAACACTGCCAGAACAGAGACAGATTCAGGGTTAGAGAGGGAGTAAAGCTTCTGCTTCACTGCGCTCCCATCAAACACTCCCAGGACTGGAACAGGACACGGTTAGATACAGAGTAAAGCTTCCTGTGCACTGTCCCCCCATCAAACACTCCCAGGACAGGGACAACATGGAGTTACATACAGAGTAAAGTTTTCTCTGCACTGTCCCCCCATCAAACACCCCCAGGACAGGGACAACATGGGGTTAGATACAGAGTAAAGCTTCCTCCATACTTTAATCTGAAAGTAAAGCTCCCTGTACTCTGTTTAAATTGAAAGAAAACCTTGGTCTACTCTTATAAACGAAAAGTAATTATAAACTAAAACTGCCTCTACACTGTCTCCATCAAACTCTCCCAGGAAAGGTACAGCACAGGGTTAGATACAGATCAAGATCAACACACACTTTGGAGCAAATGGTCTTATTAGCAATAGACAGCATGGTTTTGTGCAGTCCTCACTGACTTGATTGAGTTTTTTTGAGGAGTCGCTTTGATGATTGGTGAGGGAAGAGCGGTTAATGTTATCTACACGGACTTCAGTAAAGCTTTTGACAAGGTCCCTCATGGCAGACTGGTACAAAAGTGAAGTCAAATGGTATCAGGTTGAGCTCGCAAGATGGATACAGAACTGGCTTAGTCATAGGAGACAGGGTAGCAGTGGAAAGAGGCTTTTCAGAATGAAGGGTTGTAACTAGTTGCGTTTCATTGAGATCAGTGATGGGACCTCTGTTGTTTGTGATCTACATAAATGATTTCGAGGAAAACATAGCTGGTCTAATTAGTAAGTTTGCAGATGATACAAAGATTGATGGAGTTGCAGATAGTGAGGAGGATTGTCAGAGGGTACAGCAGGATATAGGTTAGTTGGAGGCATGGGCAGAAAAATGGCAGATGGAGTATAATCCAGACAAGTGTGAGGTGATGCATTTTGGAAGGTCAAATACAGGTGGAAATTATACAGTAAATGGCAGAACCCTTAGGAGTATTGATATGCAGAGGGATCTGGGTGTGCAGGTCCACAGATCGCTGAAGGTGGCAGTGCAGGTAGATAAGTTAGTAAAAAAAGGGCTATGACATGCTTGCCTTCATTGGAAGGGGCATTGAGTATAAGGATAGACAAGTTATGCTGCAGCTTTATAGAACTTTAGTTAGGCCACACTTGGAGTACTGCATACAGTTCTGGTCACCACACTACCAGAAGGATGTGGATGCTTTGGAGAGTGTACAGAAAAGGCTTAACAGGATGTTGCCTGGTATGGGGGGTTCTAGCTATGAAGAAAGGTTGGATAGACTGGGTTTGTTTTCACTAGAACGCAGGAGGTTGAGGGGTGACCTGATAGAAGTTTATAAGATTGTGAATGGCATGGAGAGAGTGGAAAGTGAGACTTTTTCCCCAGGGAGGAGGAGTCAATTACTAGGGGACACAGGTTCAAGGTGCGAGGGGGTGATGTTTAAAAGAGATGTGTGAGGCAAGTCTTTCACACAAAGGGTGGTGAGTGCCTAGAATGCATTGCCAGAGGAGGTGCATTCAAGAAGCACCCCGGACAAATTCATGAATAGGAAGGGAATAGAGGGATAAGGATCCTGTAAGTGAAGACAGTTTTAGTGTGGAAGGGCAAAATGTGTCAGCGGAAGCTTGGAGGGCCGAAGGACCTGTTCCTGTACTGTACTGTTCTTTGTAAACACCCTTCACTCCTTTAAATTGAAATTAAACTGAAAGTAAAGCTCCCTTAACACTGTCCCAATCAAACACTCCCAGAACAAATCTGCACAGATTTAGAAACAGAGTAAAGCTTCCTCTACTCTTTTAAACTGAAAGCAAAGTTCTCTCACCACTGCAGCCCATCAAACTCTCCCAGAACAGGGACACCACAGGGTTAGATACAGAGTAAAGCTTTCTTTACACTGTCCCCTCCATCAAACACTCCCAGGACAGGGACAGCATGGGTTAGATACAGAGTAAAGCTGCCTGTACACTGTCCTCATCAAACCATCCCAGGGACAGGCTCACCAGGTCTGGCAGCATCTGTGAAGAAAAAATCAGAGTTAATGCTTCGGGTCTGGTGACCCTTCCTCAGAACACTTGTGAGGAAGGGTCACTGGACCTGAAACATTAACTCTGATTTTTTTCTTCACAGATGCTGCCAGACCTGCTGAGCTTTTCCAGCAACTTCTGTTTTTGTTCCTGATTTAGAGCATCTGCGGTTCTTTTGGTACAGGGTACGGGGTGACTTGTAACTTTTATCTATATGAAACAATAAAATCTCTGTCTGCAGGATTGTGCAGTGTAAACTTTTTAAACTGAGACTGACAGAGTCCAGCTGGGTAATGCTTGTGGAGCACTTGTTTACACTCTGGGTGAGAATGTGAATTCTGTACCAAGTTACTGAGAGAAAGGGAAGCAATGAGAGATGTGCGTTTATATTGTCTGTGTTTGCCCTCTCCACATTTGTAGTGATTCTGTTTTCTCGAGCCCTGCACTGGTTGCCACACTCTGTGGTTGCTAGTGCACAGTCTTTAGTTTCTAGCCAGCTGCCTCTGATGTGTTGGTGTATGTTCTGTCTGCAGGTTGACTGCAAGGTGTTAAACTTCATTCACTTGTACTTGACGAGCTGCACTTACTTCTGGATGCTTTGTGAGGGAATCTACCTCCATACTCTCATCATCGTGGCTGTGTTTGTGGAACAGCAACAATTATTCTGGTACTACATACTTGGATGGGGTAGGTACTGTCAGGAACACCACTCAAACAGGCAATACCCACATCCTTTGTGGGGAAGTGATCTGGGCATTAAGAATAAAATATAAGATCTTGCTACAACCTTGCACCTTCCTGTTCCCATGGTGGTTGCACTCTTAGTTCTGTGTTGGGAGGTTCTGGGTTCAATTCCTACTCCAGGGATTTGGGCATGAGAATCTAGGCTGACACTGCAGTGCAGCAGTGCGGAAGTTTTGGACTGTCAGAAGTGCTGTCTTTCATTTGAGATATTAAACTGAGGCTTGCTGTTAGGTGGATCTTTAAAATTCCATGGCCCTGATTTGAAGAAGAGAAAGCAAGTCATCCTTGATGTCCTGGCCAATATTTATCTTTCAACCAATGACAGAAAAATCACATTATATGATAATTAATCTCATGGCTGGTTATGGTTACGCTGTGCACAATTTGGCTGCCTTGTTTGCAGTAATGCCTGCACTTTGAAAGTATTTCATTAGCTGTGAAGCCATTCAGACCATCCTGAAGGTGTAAATGACTCTGTAGAAGGACAAGTTCTGATGCTGGTTTGAGCCAAGTGAGGTGAAATGGGAAACCCCTGACAGCAGGCCCACGCTTTATAAAAAAATTCATTCATAGGATGTGGGCATTGCTGGCAGGGCCACCATTTCTTGCCCACACATAATTGCCCTGGAGATGGTGGTGGGTAGCCTTCTTGAATTGCTGAAGTCCCTGCAGTGTACCTGCCCCTCAGTGCTGTTTGAGGGGGAGTTCTAGGGGTTTGACACAGCAACACTGAAGGAATGGTGATATAGTCAGGATGGTGAGTGGCTTGGAGGGAAACTTGCCGGTAGAGGTGTTCCCATGAAGCAGCTGAAGATGGGTGGGCCTAGGACATTCTCCTGAGGAACTCCTGCAGAGATGTCCTGGAGCTGAGATGACTGTCCTCCAACAACCACAACCATCTTCCTATGTGCCAGGTATGACTCCACCCGATAAAGAGTTTCTCTCCTGGATTCCCATTGACCCTAGCGTTTCTATGGCTTCTTGATGATACATTTGGTCAAATGTGGCCTGGATGTCAAGAACAGTTACTCTCACCTTACCTTTGGAATACAGCTCTTTTGTTCATGTTTGGGCCAAGGCAATAATATCTTTCACTTTGGGAATTCTGTAACACTGTACACGTTCACAGCTCTCTAATGATCAATGACAAGGAAAGGTGATACTGAGATTGAGCAGGTCAAATAAATAATATGCTAGTCTTTGCATCATCAGTGCACAGCCTCTTAGATCCTGATATGGTTAATCACTAAAATTATCTCTACACATCATTCAGCAAACAGGACCTTTTCATTCATTCATATTGTGGGGTTTTCTGCCTAGATAGATATTTCTTGCCCATCCCTAGATTTCCTTGAGAAGGTGACGCTGAGCTGCCTTCATGAACTGCTGCAGTCCATGTGCTGTAGATAGACCCACAATACCCTTAGGGAGAGAATTCCAGGATCGTGATCCAGCGACAGTGAAGGAACGGCGATATATTTCCAAGTCAGGATGGTGAATGGCTTGAGAGGAACTTGCAGGTGGTGGTGTTCCCATGTATCTGCTGCCCTTGTCCTTCTAGATGGAAGTGGGTATGATTTTAGAAGGTGCAATTAAACAAGCCTGCTGAGATGCTATGGTTCATCTTGTAGATGGTACGCACTGCAGGCACAGTGCATTGGTGGTGGATGGGGTGCCAATTATATGGGGTGCTTTGGCGTGTCTGGTGTTGAGCTCGAGTGTTATTGGAGCTGCACTGATCCAGATAATTGGGGAGCATTACATCGTACTTTTGACTTATGCCTTGTAGATAGTGGACAAGCTTTGGGGAGACAGGAAATGAGTTACAGAATTCCCAGCCTCTGACTGACCTGTTCTTGCTGTTACAATGTGAAGATGGCTAGTCCAATTCAGATTCTGGTCAATGGTGACCCACAAGATGTTAACAGTGGAAGGTTCAGTAATGGTAGTGTCATTAAACGTCAAGGGGCAATGGTCAGATTCTCTTATTGGAGATGGTCATTGCTTGGCAGTTATGTAGCATGAAGACAGTAGCTCAGAGTGACAACTAGGCATTGTGGCATTCTCTTTCAATTCCTCCCACTTCCTACAGACAAAGGGGGTAGCCATGGGTACCCGTTTGGGCCCAAGCTACGCCTGCCTCTTTGTAGGTTACGTGGAACAATCCCTCTTCTGTACCTACACCGGCCCTAAACCCCACCTCTTCCTCCGTTACATTGATGACTGTATCGGTGCCGCCTCGTGCTCCCACGAGGAGCTCGAACAGTTCATACACTTCACTAACACCTTCCACCCCAACCTTAAATTTACCTGGACCATCTCTAACACCTCTCTCCCCTTCCTGGACCTCTCTGTCTCCATATCGGGCAACCACCTCGAAACC